CGGCTCCGGAGCTGGAGCTGGAGACGGATCGGCTGCAGAGCTGGAGTTGGGGATGGATCGGCTCCAGAGCTGGAGCTCCGAGGCGGCAGCGAATCCCGGCCTCACGACTCCGACCCCCGACTCGTCTGGTTCAGGTGTACAACAATGACCCTATCGGGGTACGCCCACCACTTACTGACGCCGCGCTTGGTCGCGACCGACCTGGCGCGTGACTCGGACCGAAATCCCGACGGGACGGCAGACTGGGGATCGCACGGGCCGCGTGACGGTGGCCCGCCGAAACCGACGGGCCGTCGACGAGCACCGGAGAATGATATGGGGGGGGGGGGCGGGAGGGCGGGGGGGGGGATGCCCAGCAACAGGCGGGTCGGGCCGGAGGATGGGCCCGTCGCGTGCCGCCCGATCGACGCCCGAGTTTTTTGCCGTGCATGGGTGATCGGGGTCAGCGCGTCGGCCGTCGTGAGACACCGGTCGATCGACGTCCGGGCGACGGCCGGCCGGCGCGGGCCCGCTCGCATGCCCGCCGGTCAGAGACCTCTCCCCAGCCGCCGCCCGCCCCGTCACGAGCAGCGGTCTGCTCCCCCGCCGCCTGGCCGCCCGCAGCCGGGCGCCGCCGCTGGGCGCCGCCGCCGGGCGCCGCTGGCCGCCGGGGCGCCGCCGCTGCGTCCCGTCGCAGGCGGGCGAGGGAGGCATACGACCTCAGTGTGGCATTTATGACATGAGGTGTGCGGCGGATATGGAAGGAATGACATCGAAGGTCACAAAGATCTGTCAGCGAGCCAGAACATGTTTAGGAAGCCTTGTCCTTGTCTTGAGGGATGCACCTGTTCGGATCGGGCAACTATATCCCTAAATGTTTGGTGTGAGTCAATTTCCTCTTCTCCCAATTACTTGTTCGCAAGGGAATAAAAGGGCTAAACATAGATAATATATGCCTGCCAAGTAAGGATGCAACATGAGCTATGAAACACGCATCGTAGCAATTTGCCCTTTTTGCTTTTACAGCAGCATTGTTTCTAGCAGTTTTCCTCGGCGTTTTGGTAACCTGATGATACGTGCTTATTCAAGTAAAGTTCATTCCCAGAGTGCCAGCCAATTTCTTCGCACGACGTGATATAAAACATTGCTTTATTGTTTCATATCATGATTTCATATTTTAGATGGGCTGAAGCCACGGAAATTGCTGTGCAGTACTATGCAGCGCTTCGCTCATATCCTGCCGCGTCAAGCGATGCCTAGTGATCGCCGGGCAGAAGCCCGAGCCGTAGTCGAAAAATACAACATCTTCGCCACCCTACGCTCCACATTTCCCAGCGCGTCGCAGATTCAGGCCCCCACGCCGGGATTTCACGGCAAGGGACTCCTCGCACACAAAATGCGCCAGCACGCCGAGGGAGCCAACTCCAGCGAGACCGCCGCAAGAGCAAACAATGGGACACGCATCAGCACCATTCACCGTCGTTCTAATGCATTCGCTCTCAGCGGCGCACTTCAGCGGATCGGAGCGCTATCAGCGGGGCGCTCGCAGACCAGAAGTGCGGGCCGGCCTGGCGACAGGCGGCAGTGCGCGCGCGGACCGGCCGCCCCCGATCCAGCGGGGTCGCCGCCCCGCGGCCACGGCCCACGTTCACCGCACGAGCACGTGTCAGCCCGAGCGCCAGTGTACGTCCCCGGAGCCGACCAGCAACGCTCGGGCGCGACGTGCGGCGCTAGAGACCTGCCAGAGCGGATGATCGCCATACTCAGGCGGCGGGCGTCTCACAAGCCGGCCAATGAAAGCCATCTGTCTGACTGGTTGTCGCACCCAAACAAGACGGCGGAGATCTTGTCCGTACCGGGCCACACCTGGACATCAACAGAGCCCGCGTCCAGCTCCCCAGCAGATGGTGAAACCTCGCCCGGCTCACCAGCAGCTGTTCAGAGCTCGCCCAGCTCCCCAGTGACTGGTGAGAGCTCGCCCAGCTCCATAGTGGCAGGTCAGAGCTCGCCCAGCTCAACGGCTGGTCAGAGCTCGTTCGGCTTCCCGGCGACTGGTCAAAGCTCACCCAGATCTCCAGCAGCCGGTCAGAGCTCGCCTGGCTCTCCAGTGGCTGGTCAGAGCTCACGTGGCTCCCCAGGGGCTGGTCAGAGCTCGCTCGGCTTCTCAATGGCCGGTCAGAGCTCACCCGGCTTCCCTGCGTCTGGTCAGAGCCTGCTCGGCTTCCCTGCGCCTGGTCAGAGCTTGCCCGGCTTCCCAGCGGCCGGTCAGAGCTCGCTCGGCTTCCCAGCGCCTGGTCAGAGCTCGCCCAGCTTCCCTGCGTCTTGTCAGAGCCTGCTCAGCTTCCCAGCGCCTGGTCAGAGCTCGCCCAGCTTCTCTGCGTCTTGTCAGAGCCTCCTTGGCTTCCCAGCGTCTGGTCAGAGCTCGCTCGGCTTCCAGCGCCTGGTCAGAGCGCGCCCGGCTTTTCTGCGTCTGGTCAAAGCCTGCTTGGCTTCCCAGCGTCTGGTAAGAGCTCGCTCGGCTTCCCAGTGGTCTATCAGAGCCCGCTGCCGCAAGCGACGGCCAGAGCGGCGCGCAATCTGCGGACCGAGGCTTCCATCGACAGCGGCCAGAGTTCCCCGGCCGCCCGGGCGGCCGGGCGGCAGTATCGACCGGCCGATGGAGAGGTTCCCGTCAAAGGGTCCCGAAGCCACCATATGAGGAGGATTAACACAGCGTCATACCGCTACGGTGGAACGTCCTCCACAACCCACGGGTGCCACCCGAAGCACCTGGTGGCGGCCTGTTCTACATGGCATTACGGGAGGACAGCGTGCCGCTGGACCTGGCATGCCGGCATCCTCCCAAAGGTCACAAGATGATCCCCACCTAGGGATCTGGCACAGCAGCGCAGCGGACAGGGTGACCTCAGCGGTCACGGTGCGACTCGCGGCCGCCGGACCTGGCCAGACCTTGGACAGTCTCCTAGAGGCCATCGAATGACTCCCTACCAAGGGACTTGGGTACATCAGCGGCCAGGGGCCGCAGAGGTCACGCTACGACCACTCGACCTCTGGACCTAGCAAGATAGTGCCCAAAAGGCCACGGAATGGCCACCTACCCCTGGATTTGCAACACAATGCACAGAGTACGCCAGAGGTCACGGAATGGCCTCCTGATACCGGACTTGACATAGCAGTAAACAAAAGGTTGTACGGAGGTTGTGGAACGCCAGCCCGCCGGCTGTGGACTCCCAGAGGTCGACGGACGACCCCTGACACCTTAAAGCTGTTGACTGGCTGCCGAGAGGTCATGGGATGGCCCCCTGCCGCCTAATAGAGCTGTCGGCTGACGGCACACAGGTCATGCAATGACCCCTTGCTGCTTCAAAGAGCTGCTGACTGACGGCACAGAGGTCACGTGACAACCCTAGTCACCTCACGGCGCCGCTGACTGACGACCCGGCGCGAGATAGCCCGATGGGTAATCCAGGTCCAGTTCCAGCCACAGAGCACGTGGGACAGAAGGTGGTGGCGCCAGTAGAATTGCCGGGTCGGCTTGGTCCGACACGCCACGTACGACAGTGCGCGGCAGTGTGACGGGCACATGGCCGGCATTTGCTACCCTTATCAGAGGGCCAACCGCGGCCGACAGAAATGCCTGCACTCACAGTCAAGGTGTTAGGAGATAAGCCACCCAAAGGTCTGTGATGCGCAGGACTTGCGCATCACAGACCAAAGGTCTGTGATGCGCAGGACTTGCACGCATCCATGATCCGATAGTGACATCCGATATCACTATCTCATATTAGATACACATTCTGACATACATATTCATTCTCACCTCTCCAACAAATTAAAATATCTTGGATCGATTCTAGCAACGAATGGCATCCACATTCTCACCTTCCCTAACAGTGAATGTGCGGTTGATTCCCTCAAGGAGAAAAGGTCATGCAGATCCAAACCAACACGTATAATGCCATAGTAACGTAAGCACATCCCACTCTCCTCGGTGACCCGCTCCCCCTGTCAGCTCCCGCCGTCACTGCTGCAGCTGCTTCAGGAAATCTAAGTCATTCTCATGATGCGGAAGAAGCTGCCGCATCGCTCCGAGGTAGCAATGATTTATGAGAGCTATCAATACTGCAAGTTTCTGGACAAGAGGCGGAAGACTAAACGAAGCCAGGATTCATGGAGTCCATTCCCACCACACGCCCATTTCCCACCAACTCATGCCGGGTAGGTGAAGTTTCTGTACTTTCCCGCAGTCTCCGCAAACACTCTGCGTACTTAGGATCGCATCAGCATACAACAGCCTTAAGTTGAGCATCTGTAATACGAACCTGCATTAGCCCTCCCTTATCCGCCACCACGGCAGTGTGAGCGCACATCGTTTACTTAAACACGAAACCTCCTCGCTTCGAGCTCTCACTGACTCCACTAACTGCGGGCTCTAACCGTCCCCTTCAATGATATCCCTCGCCTCATTTACGACATCAGCCTTCCTTCGGCACAGCTTCGCACCAACTCATCCAGTGTCAGCCCTTTCATTATCATTTGTCGTAGTTTCTCGCCATTTCGTTGAGTGCGACTCTTTCACAGAGCCTTTGCATGCGAGCACCCGATCGTGTGCGCTAACGTGTCCGCTCCGATATATTGCGTGATCGCTGGTCCTATCCTGGGGTGTGACTGCTCAATACATCCTCTGCTGTGAACACTCGTCATAGCGCTATTATTGTGAGCCCCCAACATATGACCTAGTGTGACCCCGCACAATGCGCTGTAGGGTGGGTCCGTGTCACGCCACTTTGCGAGCCCTCACCAATCGCCATGCACATCAGGATCAGCACTGGGCATGCCCTCTGTTGTCACTCATCTCCATATCCTGCATTAAATCTATCACCATATTCTGTCTGGAATTTGAACCCTCACCATAGCTTACGGATCCCTCAGCTGGCCTTTTGGTGAGTCCCTCACGTATTCCACATGGCGACCTCGCAGATCCCTGTGCGTGACCCTGCGCCGGCTGGGCGCCACCGTACCGGCAGTATGAAGTTGTCGAGCGGCGGCAGCTGCTGGGTATACTCGTCGATCCAGTGCTCGAGCTCGGTGACCCATGCGGCCGGCACGGCGGCGCCGGTGCGGCGCGTGTGCGCAGGCCGCGCCGACGAGCGCGGCGTGGCCACCAGCGAGCCGACGTCCTGCAGCGCGCACTGCAGCCGCTCCAGCCGCGCCACGTACGGGTGGCCGGCGTCCCTGGCCAGCACGCGCGCCAGCCTGCCGGCAGTCCGGCCGGGTTCACAGCGGCGGCCGAGCGCAGGCGGAGCCGTGCCACCAGCACGCGCGCCAGCCTGCCGGCAGTCCGGCCGGTGTTACAGAGGCGACCGAGCGAGGCCAGAACCTGGGCACCAGCACTGTCGACAGGGTTGGTGTCAGCGATGCTTGGTGCCACGACCGCGCGCGCCGCTCCAGCGCGTCGACCGTCGTAGCAGGACCTGCGATCTGGGTTGTGGCATGACATAAGCGATGACGAGTTAATGTTGTGTAAACCTAATCGCTTTGGGGGCAGATTTTCATATTTCATGTTTGTTTTGCTCGCTGCTCCTGAAATGTTCGTTGCAGCGTCACGAAATGCCGTAAATTTACATGGAAATGACGTGCACGCCTTTGTGAAAATGTCAATGACAGCAGTGGCGCTGAGGCGGTTTAACACGCGCCAGGGTGGCCGGTTGGATACCCTTCGCTCCGGTGGGTGGGTCAATTTGATCCTCTCTGAGATCTCAGGAACTAAGAGAGCTAGATACACCAAATTCACAAGGTTTATTGACCTGTGCGTGAACTCACTCAGATCAAAGGTTGAGGTTCCTAGGTTATGACCTTCGGGTCATACAAGGTCACACAAGGTCACGCAAGGTTAATTTCCGGGTTGGCCTCCAAAGGGCCCCTAGAACCTAGCTCTAAGCGGACTGTCACAAGCTCATTTAAGGTCAGTGACCTTGTATGACCTTTTAAAGGTCATGGTGACCAAAATCATACAGGGCTGCTTTGAGTTTTGCATTTGAAAAAGCGACAAAGATTAAGCTAAGCAGAATGTTCCTAAAAACCAAATGTTAACCAGTGTCATTGTATGTCAGTGACCTATTCTGCCCTTTAAGAAGCCCATGGAAAGTGTATAATGTGGTTCCTGTTATCAATAAATTCGAGATGGACTCCAGAAACTACCCCATGCAGCAAGCTCTAGAGAAAAACCACAGGCTGGTTTTGACCTTGGTCTGACCTTCATACCTGGCCCTAGGTCAATGTAATTTGTTCATTCCATTGTCGTGTTGCCTAAATAAGCATCTCAGACATGTATGGCTTCGTCCAACACTCCGTTGTTGGATTAGATTGAACGATTCCATAAAAACTGCCTTCGCTGAAGCTATGGTCTGACTTTTACCTGCCATAGGTCAGCGACCTTACAAGGCACAACGTACAAGAATGTACAGCACATCTCCGGTGCATTGTAGGGCAACATAGATAGCAAGTCCACTCATATGCGAATAGATCATAATTATAGATACCATAAACCCGTGTGTACAGTTTTTCTTTGGCAGGGGCGACTGAACCAAAAATGGGGCGCACACTGTTGCATTACTTGCCAACTATGCATCGCAGGTGCTACCAGCGTATATTTAGTTCTGCTCCATAATGTGTGCGTCGAAGCAAGCTCACCAAATGAAGAGAATGACCATTGCAGGCGACTGCCAGCTCCCAGAAGGATGGGAATCATTCTGGGCCATCTGCGCGGCATGCGGCTGAAGGGAAGCGAGGACTTGCGGTATATCTATGCCGTAGGTAAGGGTGAAGTAAATATGCGAAATCCAGTCGCAGATCATTATGCATGTATCATGTTGGATATGCATCCGAGCTACCCTCCTGAAGTGCACTCACGTACTCAAAGATGGGGGAGGCAAGTGGTGGGCAAACGAAGAAAAGCAATGCTACTGGCGCCTCCTACACATGGTTTACCTTGATCCAGGCCTGTGTAATTCATTAAACATCACACATTTGTCTGTAGAGAGCATATCCGATTTTTATATTATCTTAAACCCAGAACACATACACTATGGTTCATAACCCAGTCCTTTTCACCGCCCTGCAACCGTCTGAGGTTCTCAGTTCGGTTTTCAGACACACGTCGAGTAAACCATGGTAAAAAGTACGACAAACACGTTGGAGATACCGTACACGCACAGCCAATGATATATGACCCATATAACCCGTCGGGGTTTTCGTGTGTCATTGCATGTTCGTTTGCAGTATTTTCAGTTTGTCTGTGGGAATTTTAAACCACCATGGTTTACAATGAACGTGTGTGTTCTTTTACTTGATGACGCAGCCGTTGTTCTCAATGGGAGCCTGCGGTGCTCTCAGCCACGGATGCACGACTGTCGTGCACACCCTCTGCCCGAAAGCACCTGAACATCACTCACGAAATACCGTTCTCAAAACGTGGAGCATCACCGCGGTCCTCGGCTGGCCAAAACTTTAGAGCACTGCCGATTCAAGTTAACCTTCACCCAGGCCAGCCGTTTTTCATAATTAAGGACTGATGGAGGTGGCGATGCCGCCCGCACCTCCTGTCGTTCGCAAACTAGGAAAGCTGGAGCCTTGCGGGAAAAGCCGGCAGATTTCTCTTAAAGAGATACTGTGATTGGTACAAGTTTGATCGTCGTCTCCCATGGTTCTACAGCGCGCGGCAGTGGTACCTGCAGCAATCTCCCCTCCCCACGTCAAGTTTTCGGGGTAACGACTGGCTGACTGAAAGACTGCTCCGCAAACTTCACCCAATGAATTCCTCCGCCTGATGGCGTCGTGTCCGAAAACGGAACATCGTCCTCAGAAAGTTGGCCGCCGCCAGTCCCACATCGACTCGGCTGTGACGGTCAGTCAAAGCCCCACTCTCGAGCCCATCCTCTCCTAGTCATCCCGTGCCCTCGACTCATGACTCCAGGAGGTCTCAGCCCGACGGAGGCGTTGCCCGGTCTGTCTGCCCGGCGCTGCCACTGCCGGCGGCGCCCGTGGCTGGCCGGGGACGACGCCTGACATACGGACTAATGGCAGCGCGGCGGCGTCCGCCGGCCGGACCTGCGCTAATGGCCGCACCTGCCACCCCGCGCGGCACGAGCTCAGGCGTGACTGGGCGCAGGTCAAGCTAGCCTCCCCTCCCCCGGGTCAGAGACGGCAGGCACCTGCCATCCCACGCGGCACGAGCTCAGGCGTGACTAGGCGCAGGTCAAGCTAACCTCCCCCTCTCCCGGGTCAGAGACGGCAGGCATCTGCCACCCCGCCCGGCACGAGCTCAGGCGTGATTGGGCGCAGGTCAAGCTAACCTCCCCCTCTCCCGGGTCAGAGACGGCAGGCACTTGCCATCCCACGCGGCACGAGCTCAGGCGTGACTAGGCGCAGGTCAAGCTAACCTCCCCCTCTCCCGGGTCAGAGACGGCAGGCATCTACCACCCCGCCCGGCACGAGCTCAGGCGTGACTGGGCGCAAGTCGGGCTAACCTACCCATCCCCCCGGGTCAGAGACGGCAGGCACCTGCCAGCCAATGCGGCACGATCTGAGGCGTGACTGGGCGCAAGTCGGGCTAACCTACCCATCCCCCGGGTCAGAGACGGCAGGCATCTGCCAGCCAACGCGGCACGAGCCCCGGCGTGACCGGGCGCAGGTCAAGCTGACCTCCACCTCCCCCGGGTCAGACACGGCAGGCACCTGCCAGCCAATGCGGCACGAGCTCAGGCGTGACTGGGCGCAGGTCAAGCTGATCTCCCCTCCCTGGGTCAGAAACGACAGGCACCTGCCAGCCAATGCGGCACGAGCTCAGGCGTGACTGGGTGCGGGTCAACCTAACCTCCCTATCCCGGGTCAGAAACGGCAGGCACCTGCCACCTCACGTGGCACGGGCCCAGGCAGGACTTGGTGGTTGACAAGGCAGGTCAGGCTGATGTCTAGCCACCGCAAGATGCGGCCGCTGCCACCTTGTACCGTCGGATCCTTCAACTCAGAAGGCAAGCGAATAGCCAGACGAAAAACTATCCAGGACGCCTGCGAAAGACGGAGTGCAGCTGACTTCAGCACCCATGATCCGCACAAGAATGGTTTCTGGTGTGCAATGCGGTCGGGGCCCTGGAAATGAGTTCGTTTATCTATCGTGCGCAAGGCCCGTAGCGTGGCTTCGACGCGTCTGGGGCAGTATCACAGCCCAACTGGAAACATTAGCTCTAGTCACGAAGGGATGAGCGTGGTATTCGGTGAGCCTGTAATGGCTTTCAGCTCTCCTCGGTCGTCGCTATAGGCAAAACATCTAAATATTTGAACACACGGAGTAAGAAACGTTGTTCCGGTAGTCTCCGAGTCTTGAGCTCTTCCTGCACTGAACCAAAAAACAGCAATCCTTTACTGATGGCAGCCGTCCACAACTCACTCCGCAACTCTTATGTCTAGGCAGGGAGACCACGTTCGCAGCTTCCCCTGCGGAAGCCACTAGCCGGGACCGTGGGCCCGACAAAAGCTTTCCACGCGTCCCTCACTTCTGCCAGCTCTGCCGCCTCCGCACGCTCCGCATCGGCCCACGAGCCGAAGCGCCTGCTGACGCCCGAGATCGACCGCCTGCCGGAGGCCGTGTGTGCGTTTGCGTGCGTGCGTGCGTGCGTGCGTGCGTGCGTGCGTGTGTGCGTGTGTGCGTGCGTGGTGTGGTGTGGTGTGGTGTGGTGTGGTGTGGTGTTGATGCCACTTTCCACCCACTCGAAAACAACTACCTTTGTATGTGGGGTTAGGCCATGAATGTACTGTGAGCCATGTATCGTACTGTACTAAGCGGTTCCATTGGAGTTCTTACACTGTCGGAGGCGGCCGGGCCCTACGGCTGGTGGCGAATGAAAGTTTCTGTGAGCCGGTTGTTAAAATTGGCAGTCGCACAGTACTGGTGAGAAAACCGGCAGAAACCAGCAAAACAATAAAACGTAGAAAGACTGTTTGGAACCAATGTAGCGAAAATTCGCAATGCCGGCAACACTAACACAATACAAAGGCATGTCCAGCCCGATGTGATTTGGACTGGAACAACGATTATTGGTGAGAGGTGTTGCTTGGCCAACAATATCGTACATGGTAGCTGTTGTAGGCTGATAAGCATGCATGGTAAAGGACGTTTTCTTTACCCATCACATAGAAAATAACACATGAAACAGGTCACAACGTGATAGATTTCTATGGCGGCTAAATGGGCTATCTTCGTACAGTTTAGACAACACAAATGGCCGTCTCAAATGGAGCACCAATTTGCAACAAAATATGCTGCTCCGCACTGATAGGTCATGCAACAGAGATCATGATCATCGCTTTTATTGGCATGTCATGTTTCGTGCGTACCTTTAAAGAGAGCAAAAATCAATACGTGTCTCAAAGTGTTTGAAATCACGTTTCGTTCACCGCGGAACGATGCCAGAAGTGTTGGGCTTTTCCACAATGTATTTCCATGGCTGCTCCACATACTTAAATAGCCCAGTCCATCTTAGCATTATAATGAACGCTTGTTTTAAACATCACAGTGCACAAAAGCAAACGGCTGGAAGTGTTGAGGCTTTCTAACCTTCAGCAGATACCACATATTTCCACCATACTGTTGTGCTATCCATGTGCTGTTAGCTGTCGTGTGACTGCAGTTTAACATTACAACAGATGCGGCCGCTTGGGAAGCGGCGTACAATGACATCGTCGGCGGCGGGATCAAAGCTCCGGCGTCGCACCAAGCCAACTACCGCGCATTCGGCCGGCGGCCACAGAGATTTAAGCACAGCGCCTGCCAGGCGGGGTTTGTCCAGCGAAGTTGGAGGCAACGGGGCGGGGCTGGACGGTCAGGCCTGGCGGGATAACCTCGGTCGGCAGCTGTAGTGGCGTAGTTTGGGATCGTGCCATGATCGGCGTGATAGGATGCCCGTTCGTAATACGGGACTGATGGAAACAAACTTGGCGGCTGAAATTGACAGAAATCCTCATGCATCTAGCATACAGTGGCAACTGAATATTCCTTGAAAATGCTATTCGATTCGACCATTAAACAATTGTTCAGATTTGTAGCGCTCACAAAATAATGATCTTACAAACAATTCCAAGTACTTTTTCACAAGCAATGACATGTGCATTACCACAGCAGGCAGTAACGTTTCACGCCGTTGATCATGTATCAGCCAGGCTCACCCGATGGTAGCCGAGAGCTCATCGACGGTACCCAGCGCCTCAAACAGGCAGTCGTCCTTGGGCCGACGCTCGCCGGTGAACGTGGCCGACGTGCCGGCGTCGCCGGTGCGCGTGTAGATGGCCGGGAAGGCGCGCCGGCCGTCCGCCCGCAGGCCCCGGCCCGCGCTGCAACAGCCCCGGCCGGCGTCACAGGCCAGCGGTGCAGGCTGACAGGTCGGGCTACAGGGTGGCAGCGTCAGCGCGGCGCCGCCCGTCAGCGGGCGCCGGCCCGCGCTGAGACAGGTCTCGCGCGGCGGGCCACAGCTTTGGCCGCAGGAGGACGTCGCAGTGTGCCGTTGCTCACTGCCGACGGCCGGCGGTGGCAACAGCGGGCTGAGGTGACGGGACTGCCTCCTTCTGTGCGCTGCATTGCGACAAAATGAGGTGTCATTTGGTGTCTGATTCTCCTATAACAACATCTACATTACGACAACGGTGCCTCCCAGTCAGTCTCTTATTGGAAGGGTGAGTTTCGTACCACGGATGACACACCGATAGCAGGCCGAAGGATTTACTTGCCTACCGTAATGGTCTGTTCACTCAGGAGTTTTTCAGCACGCCGGACGGGCGTCAAGTTCAGGCGACGTCATGAGGAAAAGGATAGCGTGTCACGCACACCAAGGGGTGCTCAAAGTCGGATCTAAAACAGTTTACTCTTCATAGTGTAGATCATACCTAAGGTCTAAATGTCTGCTTACATAACATTAAATATCCAGGCATATGTGAGGCCTGCGGTCGATAAAGCATCGCCAGTCAAGATCGTCTATAGACATTTCATTACCAATAGATATAAGAAAAAATGTTGCGTGCTTGGCATTGAAACATCCAGTCAGAATTGATTCCGCTCCTATTCCCGACAAAAAGGCATATTCAGCATGGCCAGGCATTGAATGGCAGAATATATGATGTGCTGTATACCCGGCCGCAAGCTGTTAAAAAGAGCAGCGCATTCGGCAAAAGTATGACGTTCGCAGACGCGCGGTTTATAGTCTGGGTCTTTGTACGGGTGTCCGATGCGTGGAATACTGTAGATGTGATACGACCATTACGCAGGTCATCAAGAACCAGCATCGGTACACCGTTGCTATGTCGCCGCACATCACTGTGAAGGAGCAAACACCGCAGTGGCATACTTAAGGCACGCGTTACATCCAGTCATGGGCAAGAACGGCTCAAGAAGCAACTCATGCACAAGCCAGGGTGACGGACTCGAGGCATTTGTCTGGACTATGCGCCGTTCGGACAGACGACTGCTCCCAGCGGACCAAATTACGTCGAGGCACGGCCGCCGTGCCGCGCGCCGGATGACGCCCAGTCCGTTTCAGATGGTGCCTTGGCCCGTTTTAGATGGCGCCCGGCTCGCGCCAGATGGCGCTCGGCCCGCCTCAGATGGCGCCACCGGCGCACACTGCGAGCGGTGCTGCGCACTCCTGCTCTAGGTGGCACTGTCTTTGGTGTGGCTGTTATGGGCACTTTCTAGATGGACACTAGTGATATAGGCAGTGCTGTGGGCAACAATGCCACTGCTCTGGAGCTCTGCATGAGTGATGTTCTCCCCTTGGGGTAAAGTGCCAAGAGGGCTACCTGTGCCACTATATTGTAACTGGATGGGCAACCCAGGTGTGGTGATAGCAAACACTGTCCTTGTCATATAGTTTCTGGAGGCTGGGAGATATATTTCTTACCACAGTAGATGTATCCCAGGCCTCTGCCTCAGAATACCTAGAATAAGCCAGGATTGACTCAACATACAGAAAATGACAGCTCACAGAACACATACTTGCTTTACAGCATGGGCATTTTTACACCAGTCAAATCTCACATTAACTTAAGTACAAAATCTAGCATCTAGATTCAAATTCTGACAGATTCAGACATCTCAGGCATTCTTAAAGCACCCTTCACGAGACAAAGTGTTCAAATTGTTCATTACACAACTCAATGTTTGAATAATTATTAATGTCAACACATGGAGCTGCAGGTGGTACCTGCCCCCTCAGCTGGTGTCAGCTGTGATTTTGTTGAATTTATGACAAAGTGATGTTTATGATACTAACATATACCTAGGCATGTTTTAAAACTATGAGACATATGTCTTGTTTATCACAGAATATAGATTCACAGTTTCATGTCAAACTAGGTAAGGCTGGATTAGGCTAGTCTTCATATTCATTTCACACTGACAACATATTACCCTCTCAGCCTTCATGAATGGGTCATGCCTGCTCAAACAGTTGAAGTACACTTCCTCAAAATCTGCACAAAACTAAAATGTCAATAGCTGACCTCACAAACTTAACAAGTTCCAAACATCTCAGAAATTTGCATTTATGCACTTTAACACTCATCATGATGACCTGGACAAATGGGAAAACATATATTGATGATAATTAATCTAAGAGGGTTTACCTATCTACTCTGCATGTCAAGTTAACATATATTGTTTTTGTGTACCTCTCTCTTTACAGCCTATATTGCAAAAGGATATATGAAGCCTGCAGTTATGAGGTTAAACCTGGTAAGGAAGAGGCCAACCAGAATGAGAAACAGAGCATTTGACATGGCGACAAGGCATTGCCCAAATCAGAGGCAATGCAAGTGGCTGTTCCGTCACACTCAACCTAAGCTGGCATTTCTGCCAGCTGAAACAATTTTTCCACTTGGGGTTTTTCCAGGCTAAGACTGGTATAATCTGGTAGAAACTCAAGAAACTATTATCTTCTTATTTGTGATGCTCAGATCCAGAAATTGTTGTCTGTTATCTTCTATGTATTAAAATACTGGAAACCAGATGCTGATTATCTATTTCTTTCTCATGGTAATTAAATGATCCATGACACATCCTGTCCAAGGTGGAAAGCTTCAACTAGAAACTACCTATCTGAAACAACTTACAGCTACCTACCCTGAAACTTCAACTCCCTTGCCCTCAGTAGGCAAGAGGGCAAAACAAATCAAAATATGGCCTTACATGCATTATCAAAATGTGTGCGCTATCTGTCAATAACAGTGTGCAAATAATCATCCCAATTTGTCCTTACCAACCCTTATTACTGGTGTTATCCACCTTTGATGTTCCTTGGTAATACCAACACCTAGCATGCAGCATTTTTTGTTGTCTTGCTATCCCTCCATCAGTCATCAGTTATCAGTTCAGAATGTTCTGCATTGATCATGTTTTCAAGTTTTACCGCCCAAATTACTGCCATCAGGTTGAAAATTGTTAACTCGGCTGGCTCAGTAGGCGATGCCGCTCACGTACGGACTCCCTCCACCATTCACGCAAATGTTTAAACACTTACTGAATGTTTTTAACGCTACAATAAAGAGCTGAGACGCCTCTCGGCACTACGTCATGAGCATAGGAAAATGCTGAAAGGCGGTACAGCGCGGAACTCCGGAGCACCGTCCTCATCTTCGCAGCACCGGCTCTGGGAGCTGCCATGTTGCTGTTTCTTTTTTCAATAATGTGCCCCGTGATGTGAGGTCCAAAATACATTCAGTGGTTCGAGCGGCGGCGTCATTATTTTTTCTACCATAAGGAAACCATTGGAGCTCGTGTATTGAGTGTACGGCCGAACCACTGACATCATTATCGCTAGCACGTGTCCACTTCGCACTTATAGGGAAATTTTGAAGGTGATGTCCTGCCGACTTTCGGCCGGTCCTTTCACGTCCTGCTCGCCGAGGGAATCCATTGGCGACGTTAGATTGGGCATAGCGGATCGGGAATTTCGCGTCGAAGGACAGGGCTGTGACTCAGCGTACCCTGTCCCTAGCAAAAGAAGTTCGCTCATTCATAATTTCTGACCAAGTTCCCTTGAGTGTCATCCGCATTTTCGTAATTTCGCGATACACAACATTTTAGATTAGCAATTAGATTAGATTGCCTATAAACGATTAGCAATTGACATGAGAGACCGGTAGTTCTCCCTCAATGACGTCGTGCGCGTTTAGTTGTATCCGCGTATGATGGTCTTTTTAATTGAACACTTTCTTTGCAAATAGACGCTGTGCACAGCATTGCGAAAAAAATGCTTGGGGGGGGGGGGTAGCCGAACAACTGGGATTTCCTATTCAGACACGTGTGGTGCACTTGCAGATGACGACCCAATGCTATCGGATGCACACATACAAGCTGTTCGCAAACATTTATAAGTCTCTTCTTCCGTGCCGTGGTATTCTGGCCATCACCCTACGGATATAACAGTCGCACTATGCGCAGTCATGGGGAGATTTAAATACAAAGAAACGACATATCTGCCCATGCATGATTTTCTTTGCCGACCGATAGCACTACCATAATGGCACGGTATGCACATGATTGCACCCGCCGTGGAGGTCAAAAATATTTGAAACTGGACGCCTCATCTTTGCAGATCGCCGATGCGTACAAACTGCCAGAGTGAAACGCTGGCGGGAGTTCGACCGAATAAAATCGAAACTGGAATACGAGATGTGTGTTGCACTGGCAGCTGATAACTGCGCTATCGCTATCTCATGTGCACTTTCGCGCTTCTCGTCGACGCGACGTACTCTGACCATCATGCTACGGGCAGTTAACAATGCGACGTTAAAGTGAGATTTTTGACCACAACTCTGTTCTATAGCCTTGACCACAACCGTCATGTCGGCCGATGAGCAACTTGTATTGCCGGCCGACAGATGGCACTGTAACACTGCCTTATTCAGGATACGATAGAGGCGCTGCATGAACTACAGCAGTCGATTCGCCTTAAAACCCCAAATCATCATGCAATCATCAAGATACAATATACATAAGACGTGTGAGCGGAGCGCCAAAATCTTGGCCAGAGTTAAGCAAAAAGAAATGAGAATGATGTGCACCATGCTAATATGTACCTACCATTTTCAGCCTTCCACGATATCCAGTGGAAACGGTTACCTGATAAAAATAAAAATGTGAACATGAAGTGGCCGAAATCTGGGGACTTTTGTGATGGGAGCGGGCACGAAGTTCGAAGGGCACTACAGAGATACGTGGCTATTTACTCTCGAAGAAATCCTGGACCACCCCTGCACACACGTTTTATTCTTTTTATCTCGTCTTGCATGCCTTGGAAAGTGATAAGTGTAGCACGTGGTCGTGTTGTTGTGACGTACTAGTTAGTCCACTTTATTGTAATCTCAGAACAATTCGGGATACTTAGAAACAACACCACGTTTTCCAGGTGTATACACAAGCCTTAAAGTACTTGGAATGCATATGGTGTCAACCGTGGCGTATGTTATCTCATTCTCCTGCATTCAGTGAGATACGCCAATGCTGTATTTCTACAGTGTGTAGGGAAAGAACGTTATGCTGGGCGTTGTGCGTCAACCACCGATACAAATGTTTTCTTTTTCTGTCCGTTTATTGAACTAATTCAACACGGGAATGTGTAATCATTGTCACGAAATTACTCGGTTGGACGATAAATTCCAGTGCCAAAATGAGTGCAGTGTTGTAAAAATGCATTATTTTGTACCTACCCTTTGGTCTTGAAAAAGGTAAAGATATTTAGCTCAGGGGATGTCTATCAAAGACCACCAATGCCGGATAGTCGTCTCTGTATCGGACTGGGCCCTGTGCTCTATTCTCCAGGCAGGGACAAGGCAGGGCCCGTGATTTGCACAGGTTGGTGGGGCCCCTGAAACAATGAGGAGTCCCTGTGCTGTTCACGGGCCCGCAATGGTTAACACGGGTTTCTGTGTTGGCATGCCCCCCCCCCCCTCCCTGAGCGGACGGGAGTCGAGGGTTTTCTGAATTGGACACCAAATGAATGTACCGTGTGTAATATATGCCAAATATATTATGCACCGTGCATAATATATGAATATATGAATGCACCGTGCATAATATATGAATATATGAATGCACCGTCTAAAATATACACCACCAAATAATGCACCATAAGTGAGTAGTTTGCTTCAATGAGAGACCCAGCATCGATCAGGAAACAACTGCGGTGGTCAGAGGGCCTTCCGCGTAAGGAAGGACCGATGCATGATGCAATCCTCTAAGAGCCCCCGGATCGACCAATGGCCCATGTCTTTAGATGGGCAGCCGGTACGTACCCCTGGCTGAGACGGAAGTGCTCTTCTGAGAGCCCCCGGATCGACCAGCGTCAGCGTCCCGTGTCTTCAGGACAGGCGGTAGGTACTTCTGGTTGGAACGGAAGGGCCCCTCTGAGAGCCCCGGATCAGCCAGTGGCCCGGTCTTCAGAAGGGCACCCGGTAGGCAACCCGGACTGAGACGGAAGGGCCCTTCCGCTCCTAAGCGAGAACGTGAATTTTCCGTTTGGTGTTCTGTCCACAGGGGCATGGGAAAGACAAGGGAAACTAACAGCAAAAGTTATGATATGCCCTCCAAATGGGTGGGTCGACACTGGGTCAAACATTGGTACTGACATGACCCCAGCTAAGTCTACAAGAGTACATCCATCTTTTAATGGAAATGGACTCGGGAAGAAGAAATAAATACTTCTCGATTTTTCAGCACGCGCACGCGCAATCTTCAGAGCGGAAAAACCGATGCCCGTTGGTACGGTTTTCATCCAACGGAGTGGCGTTGGCTGCTGCTACTAGCACCAGGCGCCGAGGCCCGGGCCCACGAGAACGACCATGGGTCGTGAAATAAGGTCTCCGGAAACGTTTCGAAATTAAGTCGTAGCTTTAAAATGGGAAAATGAGCCTTCTGATCCATACTATTTATATATTCCATATATTGAGGCTTACCTTCTGAACTTAAAAAGTAAGAACGGCACAAGCAACAGAGGCTCCACTAAATGACGCGACGCAACGACACAACTCCAAACACATTGTTTTCTGACGCATGCTCGTTTTCGTCCGCCAGCAAGAAGCCGCCCCATATGTAGTCACTTGGCCGACGCCGCGCTGCCCGAGGGGACTCCAACAGCAGGCATCGGCATTTGTTTTTTTCTTGGCGCCCCGCTGTCTGGAGAGCGGGGGTGTTTGCCCGGGGGAGGGGAGGAGGCGAGGTCTACAGCTGTCAAGTGAAGCTCCGCACGGTAAAAGAGGTTTTTTGCGACATTCGTTGGTGACAATGAGGCCAGGAGATAACAGTCAGCTGACATGCAAGTGTCCCATTGGCAAACAGCCGGATGTGATACGGTGTATCACGGGCACGGGGGCGTCTTCGGCCGGCAGCCGTGTTATTGCGCCGGATGATATTGATTCTGCGTGACTTGCGCCTAGCTCCAGCCTCATAAAAGCGTCGGGCTGCGCTCCGAATCTGGGAACCTCCTCGCCGCGGAGCCATTATGAAGCTGGTGCTCGTGCTGCTGCTCGTGAGCTACGTCAGCGCCTGGCCGCTGAACGTCGACAGGTACCAGGGATCATCTGACATCTCGGAGTCAGGCGGATCCGGACCGCCCGGGCCTGATGAATCCGGATCCGGATCCGGATCCGACGGGCTCGTCTTTCCCGGACTCGGGTCAGACAGCTCCGATTTTGAGTTCGACAGAAGAGGACGACTAGCCCACTAGCTGGGCAGGCGCAGCCGAGCTACTGGAAGCCTGAGTCCCTCGGCTGGTCAACGACGGTTTTCCAAAGGCCATGGCTTGCTGGGAGAAGTCCTCGAAGACCATACCGAACATATTTCCCCACATTTCTCTTCAGTGACACTTATCAAATTACGTCGTAGGCTGCGGCATCGATATTTCTGTGTTTGAGTATTATGGTGTGTGATCTGCTTCATTCAGCTTCCTCAAACTTGAATATATTAGTGGATGCCGCCAGAAATGTTTTACCTGTAACCCGCAGCAATGTAATGAAATGAGCATCCCAATCTGGGCCCGCGCCAGGCCATCCGGCCCCGTCATGTATTGCAGGCACGCGGATACAAGATGCAGTTGCGCAAACAGCGGATCCAGTCTGTTACGACCGGAACCATAACGCCTCCTCACAGGTGCTCGTAACCCGAGGTGCTGAAGCGCAGCACAGCACATACGGAGACTAATGCCCATCACGCAGATATCCGGCATCACCTTCCACCGGCATACACCTCAGAGCACTCAGCCATTACTCGCCAGCCAACGGCGGCGGGTCACAAACACAGACACCGCCAGACAACGATGGCGGGTCACAAACACGGACACCGTCAGACAACGATGGCGGGTCACAAACGCAGATACCGCCGGACAAAGATGGTGTGTCACAAACACAGACACCGCCAGACAAAGATAGCGAGTCACAATCAAAGACACCGTCAGACGGGTCATAAACACAGACATCGCCAGACAAAGATGACGGGTCACAGACACAGGCGCCGCCAGACAACGACGGCGCGTCACAAACACAGACACCGCCAGGCAACAACGGCGGGTCACAAACACAGACAGTGAAGAGCATGCTGCCATCCGAAATCCTGACATGCCTGAGCCTCCCCAGCATCCGACTTTTAGCCGTATCTGAGCCTTCCCTGCATCCCCACATGAGGCAGCCCACCGCGTGGTGGTGCCTTCCACCCGGCCGACACCAGCCACCCGGCCGCTCCGCCGCCGCTATCCGCCATCACTCGCCCATCAGTGCGTTATAGCTGCCGGCACCGCCGCAGTCGGGCATCGAGTGGGTGAGGTAGTTGACGGGGACCCTCGCTGCTGTAGCGGCTGCGCGCGCCAGGCACCTGCAGCGCGCGGGAGGCGCTCGGAGGCGCGCCGTCCGAGCTGACCGGCGAGCAGTGGCGCTCCGGCGACGAGTCCGGCGCCGACAGCAGCCGGCGGCGGACGGGCTTGTCAGCGCGCCCTCGGCCGCCGCCGTCCGACAGGCACATGTAGACGGAAGCCAGCAGGGCCTGCCGGCGAGGCGGCGCCAGTGAACGCTCGCGGCTCCGGCCGCATGGCAACGGGCGGCTGCCAGACAACGTGGCCCGCGGTCTGCAGCTTTGCCTACCAAGAAGTTGGCGTAAGCCGGTTTCGCGATGGCTTGACTGCTTGTCCCTTGAAAATAGGCTGCGGAAGGTACGACATTCGTCACAATTCACCGTACTGTAGTCTGGCCCGCTCAGTGTATCTCACCATACAGAAGCCTGGTTCGCTCAGTGTATCTCACCGTACAGAAGTCTGGTCCGCTCTGTGTATCTCACTATACAGTAGTCCTGGTCCACTCAGTGTATCTCACATACAGAAGTCTGGTCCGCCCAGTGTATCTCACCATACAGTAGTTGGTCCGCCCAGTGTATCTCACCAGACCGAAGTCTGGTCCTCCCAGTGTATCTCACCATACAGAAGTCCGGGGTGACGCCCAGTGTATCTCACCATACAGAAGTCTGGTCCGCCCAGTGCATCTCACCATACAGAAGTCGGTACGCCCAGTGTATCTCACCACACAGTAGCAGGGTCCGCCAGTGTATCTCATTCACCACAAAAGTAGTCTGGTCCGCGCCAGTGCATCTCACCACACAGTAGTCCGGGGTCCGCCCAGTGTAGCTCGCCACACAGTAAGCATGGTCCGCCCAGTGTATCTTCACCAACAACAGTAGTCTGGTCCCCAGTGCATCTCACCACACAGAAAGTCTGGTCCGCCAGTGTAATCTCACCACAGAGTAGTCTGGTCCTCCAGTGCAATCAACATACAGTAGTCTGGTCGCCCAGTGTATCTCACCACACAGTAGTCTGGTCCGCCCAGTGCGTCTCACCAACAGTAGTCTGGTCCGCCCAGTGTATCCCACACAGTAGTCTGGTCCGCCCAGTGCGTCTCACCACACAGAGTCTGGTCCGCCCAGTGTATCTCCACCACACAGTAGTCTGGTCCGCCCAGTGCATCTCACCACAGAGTCTGGTCCGCCCAGTGTATCTCACCACACAGTAGTCTGGTCCGCCCAGTGTATCTCACCACACAGTAGCTGGTCCGCCCAGTGCATCTCACCACACAGTGTGAAGGAGGGCGCGCCGCCTCTCGCGGCTGTCTGGCTCGATCAGGCGATAAGCGTCGCACGAGAACTTACAAGTTCACACACCTACGGCCCGCTGCCAACGCTCAGACGTTGTTGCGGTTTAAATGAGAAGTATTCATTGGCGTTACATGATACAATGGTTTTAAAAAGTTGCGAACGGTTACAACGTGTAAATGTGTCCTACACACTCTGCAATGTTCTGCACATGTCGTTCATGTCGTTTATGTCGTTCATGTTCAAATGACAACTAAGTGAACTGGAGCGTGAGGACGCCCTATCGATGGTATACACAGATGTGTTATGTTCATACACTGGTATGACCTTTTTCTTGTTTGGTTTGAAATTGGGTTAGGCGCCAGGAAGCTATATGCTGTAGGCGGTCACGCTCATTTTGTTTTTCACCCAATATTCCCACTACGCATGGACCTGTATGCGTGGACTAATGGACCAACTACCCATTTCTAATCAGTTTTCCCTATACGTTACAAATCTGTTTTCACTTGTTCCCGCTCGTAAGTCACCACGGGGTACTTCCCTTCGATGTTTTGAATCGACGTTCTGCAAAATGTCTTCCGCGAATACTATACCGCGAATATGAGTATTATAATTTATTACACGAGCAAAAGAGCTTCGTGCCGAGATGAGGCGTAATTTGTCCATATTTCCTTTCAAAACATTTTGTTTGACGCGGGCGCGAAAGCAAAGTGTGTGTTCTTTTTTGCTTTCCTTTGCTTCTTTCCAGCGCTAATGCAAGTGAAAACAAGGTTCAAACAAATGCAACACTTTCGCCTCTTCATTCGCGTCATAAGCTTACGCTACCGCTGGAGCGGGCTATTTATGTTGGGTCTAAATGAGTATGTAGTAAATAAGCATTGACTCGAAACCATTTTTGGGTTGGTTATTCGTTCAAGAGCTTAATCATGCATGTTTACTTAGTGAAGTAAAGGGGAACAAGTTTGGCGAGACAGCAAAACTACAGAGTATGTTGCAGTCTCTAAAATATGAAGGCGGTGCTAGTGGGAAAACACTATCAGAGGCACCAGTCAAGAGCCAGTATCCTTACGTTCAGGATAGAGTGCAGTTCCTGACCGGCCCGGTTCGCTGCAGGCGACCTCACCATGCCCATATGCAGCAGCACGATGACCGATGACGCCAGAGGGAAGCCGATGGTGTCCACGAGGATGCCGGCGCCGCAGCGGGAGATGAAGCGTCCGGCGCCGCTCAGCGAGCTCCACATGCCGGCCACCACAGCGTGCGTCGTGGCGTCGTCATGCAGTCCTCCGCCGCTGGCCGAGCGCCGGCGGCAGCGGGCGGTTAGGGGCAACAGGCGGACACCACGGCGTCGCGGGCGCATGGTGGCCGCGGAGCCCCGTCCGCCGGGGTCGGGCAGGGAAGAGGAGCTGTGCCGTCACATCTGGTCCGAGTGAGGACGCGGGAACGGAACGGTACTGCCGGCCCATCAGTGTCAGACCTCGAATCGGATCACTAGAACATGCCTCCTGGTTTACGAGGCTAGGAAGAACACACGTACCTCCGAGCTATGAGGAGTTGGAGCAACTGACAAAATGTTCATTTGGCGACGCCATCGTCCATCCAACCATTTAGTGCATAAGCAGCGGATAAACAGCCCGCATCTTTTTGCATGACGCATCCGGCGTGTAACATGGGCCACTTATTACATTGTCGGATTAACGGAAACTCGTACTCTGCGTAGCCCCTTCCCTGGATTTTAACACATTTGACAAGCACACAAGTAAAGTACTTTCAGTCAGTTTACATCCGTCTTGCTGTTGGCTCACAAGTAAGTCATCATTCAAGATTTGAGTTGCACGAGCACGCTCAAAGTTGAGAAACCTTGAGCTCCCACCACATCCTCACAATATTGAAAAACGTGGCATTGATATCACGCTAGGTGAGCGTTACCGACGCCATATCAAAACCGATTAGGCGCGCAGGTGAGGTGCACGATCACACACAACTTTGGCATGCCATTGTAATACGTCATCGACTATCGACGATGGTTCTGAACAAGACAGCTGACAGCCCTGGATTACGATGCTAGTTGTGTAGTTGTGGAATACTTCCATTAACTTTCACTTGGTCACTTTTTCCCTTTCTCACTCACGACAAAAGTAAACAAGATTAGCACTAAACAAGGCAAAAGCACAGGCATAACGTTTGTATGTTAAATTCACACAAGCCACGCCGTCCGCCACAGCGGAAACTGACGCAACGATCTCGCAGTGACCCGGGCGTCGTAAAAACGAATCGTGATATAATCAAACGATGACGTATTCCGAACCATATCTACCATTAAGTGACAATTCTATATATGTAAGTGATGTTTGCAACTGGAAGCATAGCAATAACTACAAGTGAGTTTTTTGTATTCAATTGGAGCGGTCTCTTTTAGGGAAGACGCGTCAATTATCAGAGCAGCAGTCGCACTGGCTCGGTCTTGGACTTCGAAGGACAAGGCTAAAGTGTGACAAGTCTGGACAGCGGGCACATATGGCGTCCAAGGTTTGTCAAAAACGGAACGAGTAAAAGGTTGCGAGACGCTCAAGGTTGATCGTTTCATAGCTGCCGACACCAATTGCTTGAGTTCCAAATTGAGCACACACGCCAGGGGGTTAGGGCAGGTGGGGGTCAGCAACTCCAAATATAATGTTAACTTCTTCCTCCGGGAAAAATGTGGAAGGAACGACCATGCTTCGAAAACCCATGTGCAATATACAGCATCGACAACCATCCCGAAACATTGCACTGCTGCCTGGCCAGATTGCAGGGCCGCCGACACATTCTCATCGAATGTTTCCGAGTAGCTTCACGGCGGCCTGATGAGCTTCGTTACGAAATACGAGGGCGGCACCAGCTGCTGCTAACATCATTACACACCATCACGTGCCAGATGAGCGGAGGTGCCACTTTCGCCGGAGATGCGAATGAGCAGCTGACGCAGTTGTTACTGGCGCGGTTCCCCCAAAATTGTTTCCTGGGATATGCAGCACAACTGGAAACCTGCGCTCATTCAAGGTATGAATAACATGTGCATCGCGCTGTACCCGTCAAATGGCAAAAAGAGCTGGAAAATAACGTTCTAGAACGGATAGGAAATCGAATGTTTCATAGCAAGTACATCCGAGACCACACCCATGCACTTGCAGTGCACAGAGTATGCCACTTACACGGCCTCCCTGAGGGCATCCACCACGCCGGCCACCTGCATACCGCCGATGGACATTCCGTAGAGGCAGAGGCTGACCACGACCATCCATAGTGTCCTGAAAAGCCATACCATACTGCCAACGCGGCCAGCGTCACACGGTCTCGCAAGCGCCGAGCTGGCCGATCTCATGACAACTGCAGACTCACTAGGACTACATGCTAATACCGGATCCCCGCCCAGCCCCTCATGTGGCCCAGCGCTCTGGTGAAACACATGTCATGTCTCCACAGCAGTTTGAAATAGGAGCTTGCAATAAAGTTGCGGGCGGCTAGCAAGGCCGTGATGACATCTGCTTGCATTGCTTCAGGCTACTCGTAGTTTCCACCGTTCAAGGCGGCATGTTCGAGCATAGGTGCAGGGGCGTCCCAGAAAGTGCGAGGGTCAGTACCAATTTGATTTATCGGTGCAAATGAAATTTAATAGATAAAAAGTTTTGTTTTTCTTTTTTGATTTTTGGGCGAATTTTGTGCTCATTTTCACTGCGTTGCCACGGGGTTAATGCTCAGAAAAATGGGGCGCCATGGCTCTCACGGAACCTCTCGTCCCTACACCTGTGTTCAAGCTACCGAACAATAGGCACCCTGTTAAGGGGATTCTTCAACTTGGAAATAGGAATGTCTGTATGGAGCTGTTACATTCAGCTATTACAGTTTGATGATTCGGAACTGACTGGCCCATTTGCAGCTTGACGATACTGTTGGCCAGACAGAACGGATATTTGACAGCCGGGACTCTGGGATGCCGGTCCGCTACCTTAACCAGTACACCATAGATATCCAACGAATTAACTGCATTTTTCACTGCTCTTGATGTTGGTTATGTCGGCGACCGGTAAGTATGTCACGGGTATTCGTTTAGAAGGGAATATTTATGTGATACCAATACGATGATCCGATGATCATCGATATACGATATACGAATACGATGATCCACTTTGATACAATACTACAGATCCGATGCGCCAGAATGGCCCAGCCGTTTTGCAGTCTCGCGGCATTGTGCACCGAATAGTAAAGAAAACCGCACTATTTGCCGAACAATATCGTCAAGCAGCAGAGCGGTCATGGTAATTCATGCTCTCTTAAAAGTTGGAGTTGCTGAATAAAACAGCCTAAGGCAAGAAACAAAACGTCGGTACGATGTAGTTAGTCAGCTTTAATACACATCAATTGTGATATCAACACTTATGAGTACCGCAATTATAAAAGCAAAACAAAAGCACGGTCGTCGTAAGCGCTATGTTCTAGAACAAATTCAAAAGCCCATTATGAAAATAATCCATGATGTGCTTTTAACACGCATGTCCAGGTCTACCCGGTCTTTGCAAGTGTGGCAGCAGCTTACCAGAGAAAAAAACTGTTATTCATACCAAATGTTACCAAATGTCATCCACAAAAATCCTGTTTAGGAGATAACGACTAGTCTTGGCGTCCTGCCAACGCGACCGCATCTCACTGGTGGATTGGCAGGTTGAGCAGCGGCCCGAACAAGGCGAAGCAGGCGGCCGCGGTCAGCGACGTGGCCACAATGTAGGCCTTGATGCAGCTGAACTTGTCGCAGAGCAGGCCCCAGATGGGCGAGGCGAGGCTGCTGGCGCCGTCCTTCAGGCCGAACATGAGACCCAGCAGGATGTGGGACAGGTTGTACTGTAAACCGACCAGATGGAAATGGTGACGCGAGCACTTTGTAATACATGCGAGTGCCATGCATGCATCCCTGTGTTAGCTTGAAGAAAAACAGAGATACCTGTGGAGGCAGATGCAATATGGCAAGATGGTAGCTATACCGGTGCTAAATCGCTTTTGCGTTATCGTTATCGTCCCAGTTTGCAGCAGCCAGTGCTTACGATCATAATTTCTATGCACTTTTCCTTTTTCTGATTTTCTATCCATAATTTCAATGCATTCCCAATGCATTCTAATTCCATTGTGTTTTTTAATGTATTGTTCCATTGGCATATTAATCAAGTCAAGTAGATGGATAGTGCAATGTGTGACATGTTACATAAATGCTTTTGTTAGCATTACGTTGACATATTATGCACAATGATATAAACATTCCCAGCACGCATAATTGCAGGTACACAAAAGGCTACGTAGAGCTTACCAGGACCAAGACAACGCAGAGGGACGCAGCGCTGAGGCCCGAAATAAGCCTAAAAGACCGGCGCAGAAATAGCTCACAAACACCAGCTGAATGGTAAGGTACGCACGTATCTACTAACCCACGGAAAGCATATCATGGAGGATACAATACTACTTCACCTTGCTTACAGATGACAATAATGCTTACAGATGACAATGAAAACAACAATCACCGCCTCGCAAACAGAGCAATGTATGTACAGGTACGTTTCTGCGCCAATTTGTGGTGGAATCATAATGCATTCCATTCGATCACCGTCAACGGCATATTAAACAATAGGTCAGCGTGTAGTTGCCTGATCTGTCGCCTGTAAGAATATGTTGGCAGCACTGATTCATATCACATGAAGTTATATGAGTCAGCGCTACCAACAGCTCGTTGCTATACCGGCAAGCCCGCAAAGATTAATGTGGCGCATGCGTTACCCACCTTTCGGAGGATCTGCGCCTCCAGTGTGACGGAGAGGAAGCCAGTGCTCATGGTGGCGACGAAGAAGCTGACGAAGGCCACCCAGATGCCGGGTATGTGCACCATGCGCCAGACAGACACGGTCTGCTTATCAGCATCTCGGTCGGCGGGACACGAGGAGCTCTTCCGTCGCATGGATCCTGCCACGGCGGAGGCAGGGTCAGGAGAGTGAGACCGGGGTCGGAAGGTGCTGACGGGTCAGGAGGTGCAGACGGGTGAGGAGGGTCAAGCGAGTCAGGAGGGTCAAGCGAGTCAGATGGGGTCTGGTAGTACACAGTCATAGGCTTCAGCCGTAGTCAGAGGGTCAGAAGGTTGAGACAGCCCTTGACGTGGCCAGACGGCCCCAGACTGCACAGAGGTGGCCAAAAGGTACTGGATGCCACCAGACGCGGACAGACGGCATTAAACGTGGCCAGACGACCCCAGATGTGGCCAAATGGGACTAGATGCCGCTAGCTGTGCACAGATGATACCAAACGTGGCCAGATCACAACATTTGTGCGTTTACTGCTGATCTGGGGAGCTGAATATTGTACCATGGAAAGTAAGCTCAGGACAGCTGTAAGTAGCCTTCAGCGGGATGGCTTGTTGATGACCACTTTTCAACAAGGTTAAATCAAGGGGACTCGAGCATTGCCGCAGTCATAGAATCAGAGCACGGTCACGGTTTTAATGGCGAATGCGGTGACGCGCTAGGTACAAAATTTGTACGTCGTGTGTTGAAAACCGGACTTGACCAGGAACTGTTCCGTCTACGTTCTATACATAATGTTGCACTGATTGTTAATGGCCTATTTCCGATGTAATTGCAATGCAGCATTCAATTCCTTGAGTTTTCGTGCAGAAAGCGCGGACATGCCATGTACTTCAAAGCGACATGACGCGAAAGGATAGACATATGTCACACATACGTCGATAACACAAGTTAGCAATGCAGGTCATGCAGCTGATTGGCTTAATGACGCACATGTGCATATAGCTGGACACCCACATCAACTCGAGATGCAGCTATTATGACCTATCTGCTATCTGCGCTATGACAGCTATCTGTGCGACAGTACCCTCAGTGCCAGGGTGACAAAGTTTTATTAAAGCTCATTTCCAGTACACAGGTGCATATCTAACAGATTTCTAATCTTGCACAAAAATTATGAGCTCGACTTCGTTGAATCCGGTGTATGCAGCCCGCTGTTAACCTACGTTATGGCTGGGATCCGAATGCAATGCAAATGACGAGGAACTTATTGACATGAGCGAAAAATGATGTCGACTTTGATCAAATGATGGCCCAAATCTTGTTAGGTCCACCGCCTATTTAAGTATTTGAAGGTGGCATAATATGCATGTCAAGGGAGGGTGAAGGAAAAGAAGCATTCTCTCAATGTTGCCAGGTTGTCGGGGATTCTGCAATCTGCAACCAAAGCCAAAGAGACAATCTAGGTAGGCTAATAGCAACCTGGCGGGCGACTAGGGCAAAGGCGACCTGCATGCAGGCCTTCCACGGCCATGATGTCTCCCGACGCCGGTAACTTTGCGGATGGAGGAGACGGGAATATGAACCGTCAGAACAGAAGTAATCACACAGACGGGCTGAACCCATTCAAGAGGAAGGAAAGCCAGTCAGAGGAGCTCTCGCAGTACAGGAACGGTGCCCCGGAGACTTTAAGGAAGATGCGACTCGGCGAAGTCATCACAGGTTTCTCGTAAAGATGTTTACGTAAGATGTCGTGCTCGGCGAATGCGGCACACAGATCCCAGCCAGAAAATCCGTCAGTGGTTGACATTGGGAAGGCAGGCTTTCCTTAGGGGCAGGACGCTGCCTGGCGATACTAAGGATGGGAACCATCCTGCATTGACGGCAAGGGCCTTTCGCTGTACGTTTTTGCATCATGAATGGCCGTGGGGGTGGGATGGAATGCGTGAAACTGAATGCGACGGCTTAACTCGCAAGGGCCAGTGGGAGAAATGGCTACTCAACATAGGGGAGTGCTCGAAGTATCAAATTATAATTGCAGTAAAGTCAACCAATATTGATACCGAAGACATACTGGGGGAGCAGGCGAGATACCCAACAGGGTGCATCGTGACCCAAGCCGTGTCAGGCGGGTGCAGCAGGGAAGAACCACTCCCGGACTTCTCCCAATATTAGTATGCTCCTTATCAGCCTTCGCCCTGAGCAGTGAAGTACTCTTGTGTCTCACGAGGCATTGGTCAGTCTTACACTTGTATACCGTTCTGAAAGGAGCACGGGGTGCAGCACATTACTAAGAGCAGCTTTGTCTGCAAGACGGCCAGGCTGCGTGAATACACTAGCGAGTACACTACTAGCGTTGAATAAAAAGGTCACGTAGAAACGAAACAACGTCATCATCGACCTGGCGTGATGTCGACGCTCGGGAAACCAGCTTTCAAAGTTGCTGCAAAATGTTGCAGGATTACGGTGAAATGTACATCAACCAACCCTGTGATTGCCACTAACAGGCTCCAGGAAGAATGAAGCCCTTCAGTTCTCAAATTGCGTATTAGTTAAAAGGTTGCTGAATGTCGCAAAGGTAGTTTACGGTCAGACAAAGCTTGGTCGCGCCCTAGATGAAGAGACCCAAGAAACAATAAAGAGTTGGTAGGACTGTATATGTTTCAGACCGGTGCGCAGCACTCACCCTGTTGTAGGGCTACAATATTCGGCACTATCTACACATTAGATATCAACATATGAAGTAACTAAATGACGACCAAATAATTATGTTAAACGCTTCGCAAGCACATGTAAAGTCATGCTAAATACATCACCTTGTTCAGCACGACAATGCAGTGTGCAATGCACTACAAAACGTGACCAAACTTCTAGCCGTTCTTGTAGAAGAGACACTCATTTAAATAGTAAATCTGATCCATCATATTGTCAAGAATTTTAGTTGATATCGGAATTATACACTGGAGAAGGGTGTTTAAATGCATAAACAGACTGACCTGCGACAAGAGGCAATGCAAAGCACTCCAAATATGCCAGACTTTGACATCTGTTATCTTATTTCTGGTATCCATACATTGATTATCTAGAGTTTCTCTGGTCTATATTGTGTTCTTGCATTCACTCGTTTCGCAAGTAAAAGAGCTGTGTGTATAACTGACTTTCTTCTCACTAAAACGTAACTTAATGCTTAAACAATCCGAATATGCCAGACTGACTTTTATTATCTGATTTCTGGTATCTATACATTGGTTATCTAGAGTTTACCTGGTATATATTGTGTTTCTTGCATTCACTCGTTTCGCAAGTAAACGAGCAGTGTGTATAATTGGCTTTCTTCTTCACTAAAACTTAACTTAACGCCTAAACATCGCTAATTGGTAACATTTAGTAAAAGGTAACTCAATTCTTTACCCACTAAATACTTATCGCACTGATGCTACTTGACTCTCTTATATCACTTTCCTGGCATAACATTGCAATCACACATTGGGCATCCCATTGCTGTATATTTGTGTTTGTTTTGGTGGTATCAGGCATGGAGTTCACGCAGCTTATGCCACACCGACGGCAGTGGATGTTCCCCACGTGGGGAGGGGAGGCCCTTCCGCTGCGTGGGGAGGAAATCCTTGTTCGAAGGAGAGAGCGATGTGCGATCATGGAAAAATAAGCTCAAATTGTCAACAGGGACCACTACGATGCCATTATGGTCATGCTGAAGCAGAAGACTGAGGACGGGTGCGGACCAGTTCCGTGTCAAGCTCTATATGACCGCCGACGAGGAGGGCTGGGGACACAGCGGGTCGTGCAAACGGAGGCGCTGAGCACGATCGTGGGCAACGCCTTCCCGATGGCGCACGTAGTGCGCACGCAGCGCCCCTGCTTCGCCGGCCTGGCGGCGCCAGGTGACGACTTTGCCCGGTAGCTGGAGAGCCAGTAAACCACGATAACACCAGGAGCTGGCGCTTGGTGCCGGTAGCCGGAGCACTGTAATCCGAGCCGCCGCCAGCTGTTGCGGGGGGAGGAGAGTGTGACGACCTGGTCGGAATCTGGGCACTCGAGCGCTCCACAGCCAGGACGACAGGCAGCAGAGCTTCGCTGCCCACTGCTGGCCGACCAGGTCAATTGGCCGAATCCAATGACCTGGCCGGATTCTGGCTCAGAGTCTACTCAGTAGTGGAATCGGAGCTCCACCGATGGCGATGCACAATCTCTGGCAACCGCCGGCAGCTCTCGGTCCACCTGCAGCCAGAGCGCCGCCTCCACGTCACAATGGAGCACACGAGCAGGGTGGCGAGGCAGCTGTACCGCCCGGCCACCAGCAACGTCAGTCCAGGAGGGCGTGAAGCTGCGCACTGCCACCTGGTGTCGGGAGGGCGTATCGCGGGAGAGGGCGCTGTAGGTTCCTCGCAGGAGTCGGTTGGGACGTTCATGGCACGCGATCAGACAACAAGCACGGTTGCTACGCACTCTTGCTGAGGGGCGCCCCGCGATGTCCAGATGTCGGGCACCATCCACTTCCTAACCTTAAAAATACCAGATCATATACCAGATATACCGCATACTAGATCAAGGACGTTGCAGGAGGAGCTCACCCCTCGCTGACGGCCCTGATCAGACAGCGTTCAGTGATGCCCGAAGTGCTGTCCCGCTCGCGTCGTCAGCCACACCAGTCATCACTTTACGCGTCCCGACTTACGCATGACTTCTTAGGCCAGCTCCCAACGGGCACAACGGGCACAACAAGCCCAGCGAACTGTTGCGCGCCGCCGCGCTGCCACCAGTGTGTGAGCCGGCCGCGACGCGGCGCTGGTGTCGCTACGCCAGGAATAGGTGGCGTCAAGGGGCCGCCGTCTGAACAGTGATGGGCTGGCGAACCGGACTGTCCTTCGGTGACCTCAGGTCAATTGAGCCGACTTAACTGGTCTCGGTGCCCGCTGTTGTGATACATCATCGGTTGCGAGATGCTGTAAGCGCGTAATCAGCATGTATTCTGTTACGGGACGGTCGTTAGCACAACTTCTGCTTCACCATAACATGGGGCGAGACGATGCAGATTAACCCACCTGACATGACGGATCGCAGGTCAAATCTGTCGATTTTCCCCTATCTCTATCTGATAGAGCTCTCCTAGAGATTATTTAATGGAATGTTCCACATTTGAAGATACTGAAGCAGGCATCAGACATGATGAAACACGCTCCCTTACAATTATTGGCATACTTGTGGAAAAGACTGCCTTAGATGACGACTTCTCTGTTAAGTAATTACGCTGCTCAATACTTCATTGTTTGATCTCTTCATCGTATTACTTACAACACCGATTGAGAGCTAATTGACGACCATTATACCCGGAAATCGTGCTCACGAACGCTAGGTATGAAAGACCCTACAATTGCATTTTTATCAGCTTTGACCACCGCATGCCCATAAGAATGGAAGGTTTTGAATGACGTTATTCTGGCGTCATGGATGCCTGGGTGACCTTGAAATCGTCTGCACGAAGAAGTCTGCACATCTTCGCGGGTGTGTAGCTCAGACACTAGATGAGATTAGGTCTTAAGAAGGGCGGGGCTGTGAGCTGCACTCAATGATCTTCAAGATCACTATTTCAGCTCAAAGCCCCATGCAAATGTGAAACGCCCCCTTCAAAATTCCTTTGCCGCATTGCCGTAGAATGCTCAGAACCCGAGATAACAGGAAAGATGACGAGATAACGAGATAACTAAAAAGTGTTAATTTGACACCATGGCCTGATATTACCTCTCAAAGGTGGCATTTCACACTCGTTCAATTACACCATCTGATGCAGTTAGACCAGGTCTTTCTGCCAATGCCGCTCTCTTTCGCGTGGCTCAAGCTTGCTTAGTTTTCGAGGGCGGAGGTAGTCTCCGGAGACAATATCGTACGGCAGAGTTCAAGCAGATGCCATAGGGTCAAAACGATGGTCAAATTGAGGGCTAGAAACAGCCGGTAACTTTGACTGACCGACACTGACTGATTGACACTGTCTGGCTGATTATGACTGACTGACTGACTGACCTTCTTTGTGCGCCGACGCACCGAGAGACCGAGAGGAGAGCGCGGAGAAAGGCGCAAGAGTCGCCGCGTGCTTACACGCTGGAGAACTGACCGGGAAGCACGCAGAGCAGCGGCACCAGCGTCACCATGTGCAGCACGCCGAAGACGACGAACGGCGCGCAGTAGCCGCCAAGCTCGTAGAAGACGCCGCCCAGCGCCGGACCGAACATCTGGGCCACGCTCATCACGGTCCGGTTCATCGCCTGCGGCACGGCGCCGGTCACCGCGTGACCATGCGCTCTAGCGAGTGTGAGGCGGGGGACAGCGCCGGTCACCGCGTGGCCATGCGCTCCAGCGAGTGTGAGGCGGGGGACAGCGCCGGTCACCGTGTGACCATGCGTTCTAGCGAGTGTGAGGCGGGGGACAGCGCCGGTCACCGGGTGACCATGCGTTCTAGCGAGTGTGAGGCGGGGAACAGCGCCGGTCACCGCGTGGCTATGCGCTCTAGCGAGTGTGGGGTGGGGGACAGCGCCGGTCACCGCGTGACCATGCGTTCTAGCGAGTGTGAGGTGAGGGACAGCGCCGGTCGGCGGGTGACCATCCGTTGTAGCGAGTGTGAGGCGGGGGACAGCGCCGGTCACCGCGTGACCATGCGCTCTAGCGAGTGTGAGGCGGGGGACAGCGCCGGTCACCGCGTGGCCATGCGTTCTAGCGAGTGTGAGGCGGGGGACAGCGCCGGTCACCAGGTGAGCACCCGTTGTAGCGAGTGTGAGGCGGGAGACAGCGCCGGTCACCGCGTGACCATGCGTCCTAGCGAGTGTGAGGCGGGGAACAGCGCCGATCACCGCGTGACCATGCGTTCTAGCGAGTGTGAGGTGGGGGACAGCACCGGTCAGCGGGTGACCATCCGTTGTAGCGAGTGTGAGGCGGCAGCTGTTACCTACTCCTCGTGGCGCGGCCCGGTGCCTGCATGGGAGCGAAGCAGACACTCAAACGGATTCGCTTCTGTGTAGTAAGTTGGTGATTGATGATCGCATCTGTGCAGTAAGTTGATATTGATGACAGTAACTGATGCCGTTGATGGAATCGTCGAGTGAATGTTGCTCAGGAGCATGTTCCGTCAACGCAGCGATTTTCGCTGCCCATGCTGTTCTAAAGAGACTATGGGCGATAAATAGGAAACAGGTGACGTCCTGACGCGTTTTAAGAAAACGTTCTAAAGGGGAGCTTTGCAGGATTTTTTGAAAACCGCACATACATTCACCACTCATCGAAATACAGCGACAAATCTATTTGCCACAACTAGCGCTTATTTTATGTGGCCATTTTGAGAGCAAACTATTAAACAAACTAGACACCAAGCAAGCTCGACATTGGTTTTATGGTCGCGTCGACTACGGCCGCCACTTTGCGCCAAGCAAACTCACGAAGATGATGCCGGTGCTGGTGGGGAACTGCAGGTTGGTGTAGGTAAAGGTGGTGATGATAATGCCGGCGTTGCCGATGGACTGGACGGCGCGGATCGCCACGGCCGTGTACACGAACGGCATGCCGGCTGGGAACATGTCCAACATTCTGCCGGCGCAAACACGTCCAACGATTCGCTGCGGGCTGTTCAGCAGGGAAGTAAGCTGATTGCTGAACCACGGCGTCGGGTGTCAAGACGTTCAATGGAGGAAACACCGACACAATGACCGACGTCAGCCGATAGTCCTCACCGACCTGACCTGGCCTGACTTACCTCGCACGCGCAGCCGTTCCTTGGCCTACAGCTCCGTACTCGGAGAGGCTAATTGAAGGGGCCTGCGTCATCGAAAGGATGATGATGGCAAGGACCAGAGAAGAGGATTCATAGTTACAATCCTCAGTTGCCGTTGTTTCGCCTTCCACGGCAATACCGGTTTGAATCCCTTGGCAAGGTCATATGTCAATACCAGTTTGAATCTTATGACCAGCAGTCAGCTTACTATGACCGGTGAACACATGCAGAGTGATCAGCGACCAGTGAACGGTGACCAGTGAGAGCGCTTTAGTGACCAGCGAGTGTAGCACAGTGGGCAGTAGGCACCGCGCCCAGTGACGGGTGGGCAGCAGGCAGTGACCAGAGACCAATGTACAGCGACCAGTGACAGCGTCCCAGCGACCAGTGGGCACCACGCAGTGGGCAGCAGACACTGCACCCAGCGACGGTTGAGCAACAAGCAGTGACCAGTGACCAGTGGACGGTGACCAGTGACAGCGCTACAGCGACCAGTGAGCACCACGCAGTGGGCAGCAGACACTGCACTCAGCGACGGTTGAGCAGCAAGCAGTGACCAGTGACCAGTGGACGGTGACCAGTGACAGCGCTACAGCGACCAATGAGCACCGGGCAGTGGGCAGCGCCGGTGGGCAGCAGGCAGTGACCAGCGCGCGAAAGTGGACCTACCCGCACAGCACGCCGCTCACGCCGCTGGCCAGGACGCCGCTGACCAGCGTGAAGGAGAGGCCGATCGTTTCAATCTGCAACACAGGTACGGCATACCGCGATGGCGAGCACTGAGCGGCAGACGCTACACTGCAGGTACTGCCACAGACACCAGGTCACACTGGGGTCACTGAACAGACACCAGAGGTGCTAGACTGCTTGGGAGAGCGTTATCGCAGTTGCGCACTCGAGTGATTTAAGATTATGAACGGGCTGTGCGTAGCGGTAAACAAATTGTTTATGTGAGGATGAAGGACGGAAGATTAAGAGCCGTGAGTGACTCACATTTCACTGCTGAGACACGTTAAGTGTGAACCGGGAAGGGCTCGCACAGAGTTGCCGACGATGTTATCAATAATGGTTCAGCCACAGTAGATGAGTTGAGACGTTAATGCAAAGCCTACAAGATGAAGTGCTCAGCAAATGTGTGTTCTACACAATCAAAGGCGAACACATTTTTTTTGTAAACAAACAAATGAACGTCGTTCTTTCAGTGGTTCACATACCCTTGAGCATGAAACGTCACCTTACTTTTTAAACACACACACACACACATATATATATATATATATATATATATATATATATATATATATATATATATACTTTGAGGCACACGCATTTCATGGATACCTTTTCTTGTACCGTCGAAACGCGCGATAAAATAACGGTTTTGTGGAAGAACAGAAGGGTGGTACGGATGGAATGAAAACAATCTTGGCGAGGAGAATGCTGAGGATGCGGATAAATGGCAAAGAGGTAGGCTTCGTAAGGCGTGATGTCCAGTAATCGTCCAGTTTATCTCGACAGGGAAGAGTTGGTGATACTCCAGATGCTGCTGTATGTTATGGTTATATTTTTGGCCTCGGTTGACTTTAGCAACCTGTAAGACAACGTAGCCTGTACTCGCCCGGACTCGTCCAAAAACCGACTGGCACCTGCGAGTGTCGGGTCCCTGCCGGCGCCTCAGCGGTCGACCCTTGACCCCCGGCGAATCGGGAGACCCGCAGTCACGTGACGCCCCCCCGGCACCCAGTCACATGCAGAGCTCGGAAAACAGCGAGGGCGAGGGCGCACACCCCACACAATCACACCACATAACCTGACATTTTGCACCGGTAACAGCTGTTGTGATGATGATACATCCCGTTCACGACCGAAGTGGCGTTTCTCGACATGTGGGCATTAATGGTGTTCTTTCACGTTAATGCGTTTTACCTGAACGGACATGAAAGGTCAGTAACATCAGAGAGACAGTCAATGCCCACGGGTGACTGTGGCCTTGACAATCATCGCCGATATAAAATGAGAGCACAAATATTGTAATGAAACGGAGCGCAACAAATCACCATCATTGTTATATAACGAATGATAACCACTGTCTATCTTTATGATTAAATCAGCCGTGCATGTCGCCTAAGCCCCTGAAAATTTCCTTGCAAGCATGCCTTTTCAGGTTTTGCCTTTACAGCCCTCCATGTTGACCCGCATCCCAACCCAAGCCTGACATCACCACGTCATGGCTGCTCATTTGCATTTTAACAACTCAACAATCACTTAAACTTGAGTGGACCCATCATCTACACCACAATGTCAACGTCAAGTTAGCATGTCGAATGCACCAAAGCAGGAGACCACAAACTAACAAATACCACACATGGCCTGAACCCAAAGGTTTGGGCGCCGTCTCGGTCGATGCGCGATGTGCGCTGCCCGGTGCGCGATGCGCGATGAGCGATGCCTCGGTCCCGTCTCACGTGTTTGCCGAGGAACGGGGTGACGACGAACGAGACGAAGCAGTTGGTGCCGATTATGGCGCCGTACACTGAGGCGCTGAAGCCCTTGCTCTCGGCCTGCGAACGCGCGACGGCTGCAGTCAGGCGGGGCGCCGACCGCGGTCAGGCGGGCGCCGACCACAGTCAGGCGGGCGCCGACCACAGTCAGGCGGGCGCCGACCACAGTCAGGCGGGCGCCGACCACAGTCAGGCGGGCGCCGACCACAGTCAGGCGGGGCGGAGGTCACAGCTAGGCGGGGCGCCGACTGCAGTCAGGCGGGGCGCCGGCCGCGGTCAGGCGGGGCACCGACCGCAGTCAGGCGGGGCGGAGGTCACAGCCAGGCGGGGCGCCGACCGCAGTCAGGCGGGGCGCCGGCCGCGGTCAGGCGCTCACACAAACAGGGTGCAGCGTCACATGGATACTCGCAATGTCATCGGGGATCCAGTTATCCGCGATGGCTGCGGTGGTTCTTCGCAAGTTAGTCTGGGGAGGCTTTGCGGCTGAAAATAACCTTCCGCCAACATTTTGTTGCAATAACCACGTTTGACCGTGATGAGATCATCACAATATCCACGTTGAACTACACGGTTTTGAAAATTTCGGACGTTATCAGGCGATCCGAAAGTACAAAACATTAAAGTAGTAATCATTTAGTAGGAGAAATACCCTTTTAGACAAGGCGTATACCTAAGGCCGCATTCAGTGCATTTACAATCTTGCGGGACTCCGGGAAGTTTCCTTAGAACATGCGAAGCCAAAAACATTCCGCACAATTATTTCAAAGATGGAGCCTTCCAAGTTTACCTACCAGGGTCGGGTTGGGTTCGAATCGCTTCACGTGCTCGCTTCTTATCCTTGACTGAGATGACCCGCAGCCGGGGCAGAAGCCGCGCAAAAGGCCAGGTGGGGCGGCAAAGGGGACAGTCGTGACCGGTTCAGCATAACTGCGCGTAAACTTTCGGCACGAAAGTCTGCTGTTGGCCTGAAACTTTACAATGGGATAATCGCGTCAGGTCTCACACAACCAGCGTACTTAGCGAGGGGTCCAAATCTGATCCCAGAAACATATCGATTGAAGTTTTCCACTAGATGCTCTGAAAACCAAAAAACTAACTGTGCTGCGGTTGGTTTTTGTATATTTCTACCGTCTGTTCGAACACTGTGGGTTTTTGTTTGGGAGAATTCAAAACCTATTGAAGGCTTCGAACGGGGAAGGGGTGGGGGCGTCGTGGCAGGAAGGTTGGCGCCCCCAGCGAGACGGGGGGGGGGGGGGGCAATCGTCTCATCATGGTCCTTTTTGTGGTTCTATCGGTGGTGGGGCAGGTCTGAGCCCCGGTTGCCGCCCGGTCTCTGAGCGCTAATATGGCACAGACAGTGTTTGGCGCTTTATAAAACAGTGCGTCGCGCTCTCCTTTTTTAAGGGGTCCTCGAGGGCGGCTTAACGGGGATACGCCTCACAAAATATTTCTCAAACTATTTCCTCTGGAATAAGCAAAACATGATATTCAAGAAGCTCGCTTACGCCTGAACAAACGCTGTACACTGGAGGACCTACATCTTCTGTATTTTGACCTCGTCGTTAAGCTGCGGCGAAAGAGCGCCATATCTGGCAGCACCGCCAGTGCCACTAGCCTTCCTCGGAAGCCACCTAAAAACAAACCTGCGCCAAATTCTTGTCGGGTGAATGATGACCTTCTTCAATAACCAAATCGGCAAACAAAAACGGTGGGATGTGGACTTAGGTCAAATCACAAATTGCTATCTATTTACGAAAGCAGGTTTTCGGCTGCATCCGACCATAAAGTCTAGCATTTGATGAAATAATTTCAAAACACGAGGCTCACTGACGATTTTTATGCACCTGCTCTCCCCATTTATTACCTATCAACTCTTAAAGCTAAAGGCAGCGGCAAAATGCTTGACTGTTTATCGAAAGAACACACATGTTGTTGACAAAGAAATCACTTGCAGTGTCGTGGTGCAGCGCAAAGCAAAATAGTTGACTGCTCCTTACAGCACATAACTGACACGTCAACACACGACACAGTATGATAACTTTCCAGACAAGAAAGGCCGAACTACTGAAATCAAACAGATGGAAACACTGTCTCCAGCAGCTGGCGGGTCAGTTGAAAGGAAGCAGCAAATAATAGACTGGATTATGACAGCGCTTGATCCCACGTCAGCAGATTACGTTCAGAGGTGAAATACACATGACAACCTCCTGCAGCCACGCACATCGATCCCAAGTTAAACTTACCAGGAAGGAAACGTACCACTTTGGGGAAGAATGGAGGGAAAATGCACAGCGACAGAGACGATGTCATCGTGATCGAGGCCAGAGCGCCGAGGAAGACCAGCTGACGCCAGGTGAACTTAGGCTTCCGTCTCTTCGTGACATACTCCTGGTCGCTTTCTGTGTGAACGGAATGAGATTGGTGTGAGATCGGCCCAGCTAATCGAGCGGCGTGAAGGTGGACAGGCACACCTCCCAGGCCAACTCGACCACCACTGGTGTTTGTGGCAAGGTCAACAGACGGCTGACTGAAAGACAGCCGAGATAGAGAACCAGAACCCGTGACGTTGGTGTGGTGAGCCTCTTCTAGCCTATAAATATTTATTGAGTACGAAACAGAACAGCATAGAACCAAGAGAGCGAATGCCCTGAGCCATGATATGTAAATCAGAAGTAGTCAGCACGACGCTTTACTCGACGTGGGTCGAGCGAAATGACGACGGAGCTTATGCCACCATACTGGTAATACCAAACCTGAATGAGCCAGACTCCGTTAGAATCCGTACAAATAGACGTGGCATGCATATGCCTTATTTACAGATATGCCATGACAGTCATTTAGGGCAATGTCAGATCGAGAGCTCACTAAGCAAGTGCTTTGGTGCTTATTAACAAGCAGTATTGCTGGAATATTTCTGGACGATACTCCTGGACATCCAGGCCAAAAGCAGTACATTTGCACTAATTGCATTAATAAAAATAAAATTTGCACTAATAAAAAAGCAGCACAATTGCACTATTGTGGTCAAGGCATTCACAAACAAATTATGGATGTTGACTACGAATGATTCCGTTGCATGGTCACATCTTTCGTTGCTCCGTCTCACAAGATTTATGCCGAGACGACTTCTGCCAGAAATCGCTAGATTTTACAGGTGGCATGCCTTGCTTAGTGGCCGACGGCTTGCGACCTGTCATGAACGGGGACAAAAGACGCTTGTTAACGAGCCTACTCTCCGAGCCCAGATACCAAGCTCCACCACCCCTTGACCACCCGATGCACAGTAGTTGGACAATCATTTTTTTCCATATCTGGTTGCCTTTGGTTAAGCCAAGAGTCGCCAAAAAAATGCAAGAGCTGCCGAAATCAGGTTCGTGGGTAACACCTTAGTGACCGATCGCCCCGAAGAAGGCGTCATACTTTATATGATAAACAATGGCGTGCCCTGTCCTCAATGTGCTGAAGTTCTGTTAGCTCAGAGGTCACCGAAAACCATAAATGTTACGAAATGTAAAAGATTTCCCAACCAGTGGTATACAATGCCCTGCTCATCAACCCTTTTCCACTGACATAGCTTCATACCCCCTATCTAGACCACTGTGCCCTTTCGGCACGTCAAACGACTAGAATGTCAAAAACTATCAAGCATGTTGCTGGCGATCCCAGGCTCCGAGCGTATGGCACGGAGCACTAAAAAACCCCCCTTGTCCGATGCATGATACTCAAAAACTGTTCGTTCCAGAGAAGGCAATGCGTGCCGAACAGCAGGGTTTGGTGGTGAAATTTGCGTACTGGCCAATGACACGAGATTGCCTGCAGCTTGGCTCAGCACTCGTTGGCATTCTCGTGATTTCTGACCGATCCTATGGCCACCAAAACCTAGACAGAGTATGTTACCGACAATGGAATAACAAATATTGATTCCCGGCGAAGTCTGTCCGACGGGCTTAAAGTGTGGAATCATCCACAGACAATTTTGGTAGCTTTCTGCAGTTTTGCAAACTTACACCAGATCCAAGTTCTGAATATCCTGGAGACGTCGCGCTATTGACTGGAGCACCGAAGAAAGTGTTTAGCGACGACCTGGCCCGC